CACACACTCTCTCTCACACACACACACACACACACACACACACGCTCTCTCTCACACACACACACACTCTCTCACACACACACAGAGCACAAATTGTGTTTTGTATTTGTTTTGACCACAGAATTCTGCAACACATCTTTCAGTATTTTTAATATTGATCTTAATTTATCAGTGCTCTGAATGCACTTGAGGATGACTTTGATGACACTCCCAGAGATGCAGAGAAATTCATCAGCAACCCTCTCGCAGCGTTTCAGCTTGTGAGAAAGCTAAGTCTAGCCTGGGCCGCTACGCAGGAACTTATCGAAAGAAGACGTGCAAAAGGTTTGAGGAGAAACACACAACTCTAATATATCACTCAGAAACTGGGCTTTCTCATAACAGTTGATTGTGTTCTTAATTATGATTGTGTGCTGCTGTTGAGGGGCTTCATCAGTTTTTAATGGTAGATTATCTGTGAAGATCAACTGATGCAACCAATTCCAGGAGGAAAAGCTATAAATAAAACATGATTAAAAAACATTTGAAGTCATTGTCAGTAACATTTCTCATGTTTCACAGACACTTTGGAAAGCCTGAAATCTGCAGCTCAGACTCTCCCCAGTGCAGAAGATGTAGAAGGTGTGGTGATGGCTTTGGTTAGACTGCAAGAAATGTACAGATTAGATCCGAGGAACATCTCCTTATTTTCTGGTGGGTTTCATGGTGGCTTTATTTGTTCTTTATCACCAGTATAGCTCATGTAAACAGATGATAAAACAGGCAAAACATCCAGTAGACGTACACAGGACTGAGTCATATCTAGAGGCCAAAATGTTGATGTAGGCACTTGTATCTTGGTGAAAAATCTGGTTCAGTTTATTTGCAGCTCTCAAGATTTCCGTGATATCAACTTGATGTGTGGCTTTTCAGAAATGAACCACAACGTGACGCTGGATCCAGATGAAACTTTCCATATCGCCATGATCTCCTCTCTCAATCAGCGCTTTCAGTGTGCCGTCCTCTGGATGGAGGAAACCCTCAGGAAACTCAATGAGGCGGAAGAAGCTGTCGTTACTAAAGACGAGTTAATGACAGCATGAACTCCACAAGCTTGTGTCAAACCTTGTGATCCATATTATCCAGCGTGATTTGAGAATGTTTCACAGAACATCACTATTTGGTTCAATGAAAGCAACAAACCTCGACCTTTTGAGTTCACATGATGCATAAAAAAACTATGTCTATTTTGTTTATTTGAAAGAATTTCACAAGATTTTAAATGCAAGATTTTTAAATGGTCTCACACAGTAGGTTGCCACTGTATGTTGGCTTCTAAAGCATTATGTGCAATAACGCAAATCTTAACAAAGCTATATGTTAGCAGTGTGCTTTAACAGTAACAAAGTCTAAATGAAGATCACCTGAAACAAATGCACTAATTCACACTCGTGCATCTAATTTGCAATTGTTCTTAAGAGGCCACTGAGAGAAATCTACTTCAGCCTGAACTTTACACAAGCATAATAGAGAGCATTAAGACCTGGCACTGGACCGCCGAATACATCCCTCAGCTTTACTCTCCTCAGCACTCCTTGGACAAAACATATGAGGCTCTGTGCACTGGAAAGAGGCTTACGATGGTGAGTAGCAGCCTGAGAAGATCTACAGAGATTCATATTCTTCATTTAGTATTGCTATCATTTTTTAAAGATGAGCTTTCATGTGGAATCCATGTGAATGTACTGTAAGATTGTAGATTAAAAGGTTAATTTTATACAGAATACTCATTTTAATACTCTAATATTTTATTACACATTGTGAAAGTAAATAAATTATATATTAGACATGGCTACTAGCAGTGCACACACACACACATATATATATATATATATATGTAAAAACCTGTAAAAACACCTGTTTTTTTGTTGTTTTTAAACAGGTGTTTTACCTGTCTTTTGAAGTTTGCACTTCATTGTGTTGTTTTAGGGTTAGTTTAAATGACCGTAAAATTAATGGATAATATCCTAGCAAGAAATTACCAGTACATTTTCCCTTTTTTTTTTTACGGAGTTCACATTAACACTGTACATTGGACTTTATTTGTATGGACTTTTCAAGTAATATGAAATTTACGTAAAGTCAGCTAACTAGCCTTGCTTGATTGAGAAAGTGCTTTCCCGTTTTGTATGTAAGATGAATCAAATCAAATCAAAACATATTCATAAAGCACTCTCAAACCGTAGAGTGTACCAAAAGTGCTGTATAATTAAAAATAAATGAATAAATAAATAAAAATAAGAACAATACAATACTACACACTATGAATACATCTGCTCAAACCTAATGTTCACCAAAAATAGTGAAGGCCTCATCAAACAAATCTGTCTTGAGACGGGTTTGAACATGTTTACAGAGGTGAAGGATCTAATACGATCTAATAAATGTCTTATGGTTTGCAGACGCCACAAAGAGAGAGAAGGCTGGTGTGCAG